AAAAAATCAAAGTTAATTTTTGTTGTAGTATTAATAAAAGATAATTATAAATAATAATATGAATTTTTAGTTTATTTTTTTCAAATGCGAGTCAAATAATCTTTGATTTTCAATTTTTTATGCAAGTCAAATAATCTTTGATTTTCAATTTTTTATGCAATAGGAAATATCTTTGTTTATACTGCTGCCGAGGGGGAATTCACTAGTAAAAATTGTATACACTTTACAACAACTACACATATTACCATTATTACCTTATGATTACACTTTTTACAAGTATTACATACTACTACCAAAATATTACTGTATTACACATGTATTACTGAGTATTACCCTTTATTACAAAAAATATTACACGTCAAATAGCACTTTCTCATACGTAGAACTTTCAATAAAATTATTATTTGAGAGCAAAACTTTAAAATAAGAAATAGAGAAATAAATAATTAAATATTTTTACATATTAGGGTAAGTGCATCAATTACGGCGCGTTCATAAAAAATGACTATTATTACTATTATATTTAATATAAACTGTTGCAAAATGATTAAAAAAAATTATTTTAATCTTTTTTTGATACAATTACTAATGAAGATGCATATTTAAACAATTATTAAGTAAATTATTTGAGATCAAATTTTTTCCCTTGCCGTAATTGAAACATTTTTCTTCCTCGTGGAGGAGGCTTTGTAGTCCTTTCGTTTATAAAATTTTTACACGGAGAGAAAAATCATACTATATTCACATGGGTTGTGTCACTCATTATTCACATCACCCGTGACGTGCTTTTTTTAGACAAAATTCATAAGTTTATAGGGTCGTAGATTTCTATGCAAGAAAAGTTTGGAACATGTACTATATTTGCTTCAAGTCCATGTCGTAAATACTCTCCTCCACTCAATGGGTGTTTTCGGCATTCACTCAGAGTTAACTCTAGAGTTAGCAGTGGTGCTCAAATGTAAATTTTGATTTTCAGTTCGTCTGTTGGTTGTGAACGTTGTTGATTGGCAATTTGGCATAGACGATTCATTTTGATTGGCGCAGGGTTTGCAATTGTAACAACATGTGAAACGGGCCTTTTATTCTAGTAATGTAATGTTAAAATAAAATTTTTTGTTTTTAGATTTCATAAAAGTCCCCAAAAATTTATTATTAGATGACCCAGAGTTAACTCTGTTTTCTTGCGAGAGTAAAGAAAAAGGGTCAGTCCTAACCTTTACAAAATTTGTGAACGGATTGTTTGTTTTGAAAAGTGTAAATTGAAACATAATAATTTATTTTTATTAAAAATTATTTTAACTTTTTATTTATAAAAAACAACTTTAATTAAAATAAATAATCTAGTTTCTAAAACAATTCAGATTAATTAAAGTTAGGGAAATAATGAAAAATTTGAAAATTATAAACTTTAAAAAAATAACACGTTTATGGGTAGCAAAAATATGTTCCATTTTTAAATGAAAAACAAAAAATACGTATAAATTAAAAAAAAGTAAGCAAACAAGAACAACTAACTTCAAACTCAGGGTGATGAAAATAGAAAATCAATTATTTTATTTAGGTAAATAAATTTTCAAAGATAATATCATTGAGCACCACTGTTAACTCTAGAGTTAACTCTGAGTGAATGCCGAAAACACCCAATGCGAAATTTGCTTGAAATCCATGCGCTTTTCGGATGGATTTCTTGCAACGGAGATAGAAATGATAGTGCGCATGCGTAACTTCCGTTCACGTGTCGGTCGAAGGGTCCAGTCCCATTTGTAAGAAATCCATCCGAAAAGCGCATAGATTTCAAGCAAATTTTATATAGAGAGAAGGAAGGCAATTTTATCATATTTCTTAAGCGTTTATGGTTTACAGATCAATCAGAATTAGTATACATGTCTTTATAATTTTACACAACGTTTATTCACGTAATAAACACAAGATTTCATGAAAAAATATCTTGCGTGATAAACGATTTTTACATGAAATAGTGTTATGTGAAAAAAACAACAGTGACTCTTGTGAATATAGTATGATTTTTCTCTCCGCGTAGAAATGGTGAAAACAAATTTTCCTCTATATAGAAACATGTTATATGAGATCCTGATCAATTGTCCGGATGTATGTATGTGTGTGTGGATCATTTTTGTGAACACGATATCTTTAAGTGGTTTTAATGGATTTGGGTAAAATTTAGTTTGCTTATTTATCACATTTATCTCTCAAAAATGACGAGAGGATTTTTAAAAATACCCCCAAAAATCGTCTTTTCCAAATTTTTTTTAATTCAAAAAAATTTTAATTAGAAAAATTTAAGGTAATAAATATAATATAATCGTCTTCCTTACGTCAAGGCGAATCGATTGGTATATATAAATTATAGATTTAATTGAAATTAATAGAATTAATGTAAGTTAAAAAATCAGAAATTCACATTTTAGCTAAAAAATGTTATCCCTACCCGAAGGGTGGTACTGGATTGGTACTGGGAAATTGGAACTGAGATCTCAGTACCAACTCAGTACTAATTTGGTGCATTTTGGTACTGAAATGGAACTGGGAAATTTACCTATGAAAAGGGTCGAGTTACCGTTAATACCCTCATAAAAGTGAAAAGCGACTAGCTTTTTCAATATGTTTAAACTAAAACTTTATATTTATTTCAATATTATATTTGTTTTTCATGGATTTATATTATTTTCATACATTATTATGCATATGATATTTCCTTTGTCAGCTAAATTCAAAAATGATGTCCATTTTTTTATCAAACTTAAGGTATACGAGATAAATTATAACTTTTTTAAATGTAATTATTTTATGATAAATTTTAGATATTCATAATCTGGAAATATTAACGAATCTGAATGTCTATTGTTCAAGGAGGGATTGCAATATAATTTCCAAACTTAACAGAAATTTTCTACAAACTATTATGTTTTTTTTTTGCTGTTTTACACGTATATCGTGAGAGACGGTTTGTTGATCTTATATACCTTTAAAACTATTGTTAAAGTACTTTAAAAATGTCTTCTTATGGGTTATCAGGTAGTGGTACTGAAGTGGAACTCAAGCCAAGTCCAATTCAGTACCATTCCAGTACCACTCTTTCGGTAGGGATGCTTCTTAAATTCATGTTTATACTTATATAAAATAATTTTATTCTCTGCATTGAAACGAATTGGTTGATATATATAAAGTATAGATTTGATTTAAATTTTAAGAATTAATAAAAATCGAAAATTTATATTGAAACTAAAAAATTTTGTGTTTTTGTAAATTCAAGTTAATACATAAAATAATTGTATTCCTTGCATTGAAACGAATCGATTCGTATATATAAAGTATATGTTACACCCAAAATGAATTAAAATTTTCTTAATTTTTCAAAAAATTTAATTGATTTGAAAAAGTTTTCAACTCAAAATTTTTTAAATCAATCAATTGGATCGGAGAAATTTATATAGCTTCCTCCACGAGGAAGAAAATTTTTTGCTTCACTCAATGAGGAAGCAACATGTTTATGAAATAAACATAAAGGACCCCCTCCTTGTTTAATGTTTCCATTGGCTCTAATTTCGTCGGGTAAAGTATTTTCAAAATACACGTAATTTTGGTCTCCGAAATTGATATACAAACGCGCCGCAATAGAAAATTACGGTATTATTTTTAATTTCTCATATTTGTTTAAATAATCGATTTTTATAAAGTTAAACACTTTTTAACATCTAAATAACATAACCTTTGAGTTTAATAAGTCTTAAATTGATCAAAGGTGTTTTGACTCGAATCGCGCCGCAATTAGTGCATTTACCCTACTTATAAAAAAAAATAATAAATTTCTCTTTTTTAAAACGTAAATAACTATTATTTCAAATGTTTTGAAATTTCTTTTAAAGAACACGATAAATATAACTTATTTGTTTTTATTTTTGGACGAGGAACTGAACAAATATAATTTTCTATATTATAATATCCGTGAGCATCCATGTTTATAACGTTTAATATTTGGTTTTTTGCTATCTTAAACCACGAACACAAACTACCTAAGCCTCGTGCATTTTGTTTCGGTATAATTACAGAAGCAGATATCTTACTGTACTCGATTTTTTCTACTTATTCCAGTAAGGTAGCTAAAAGCTAAAATTCGGCCAATTACTAAAGAACCATCTTCTGATTCGATTCTGTAAACATTCGATACCGCCACCTATGGCAAAGTTGTTATACTTCAGCATCAACTCCCGCGCTACATTTGAATTAGTGTTTAAAATGTTTACTTCTTTTAACATTTTTTGTTTTGATTTTCTTTAAATTTTTTAAGGTATTACACCATAATACCACAATATTACAAGTATTACACAGTATTAAATGATATTACACAATAATACTTATTATTACAAGACATTACAAAATATTACAGATATTACAGGTATTACCGAGTATTAACAGGCAAGTGTACACTTGACTACCAGAGTAAATTCCCCCTCGACTGCTGCTAATTGACAAACGGAAAATGGGAGAATACTTAGAACCTGTTGTGGGTGATCTAAGGTTCAAGGTTTAAGGCCGTATTTATTTAAAAATTTTTTTATTTAACTGAAATAACTACTGTTTCGATTTACCCCAACTGACCCTATTTAACAATAACTCTCATAAAATGTCGATTACAGGAGGAATATTTGACGAATTTTATTCTTATCTTGATGAAACATTTTTTTTTAATAAAAAATAATGTATTTGCGAAATTTTATAAATTTAGAAATTAAAGAACGTTAATAAAGTTGATTGTTTTAATAAATAATTTTAAAACTAATCAGAAAAATATTTATAATTCTAAAAATATTCTTTAATCTTAACTGGAATATCTCATAAGCGAAATTTGAAATTAAATAGAGATGTGCAAATTGTGAAAATTCGATTAACTTCACAAGAATTCGCATGGCTCGGATTAAATCTCGATTCTTTGCTTACCAATTCACTTAAAAGATTTTAATTTTACTGTATGATAATAGGGTCCAGTTATAATTGCATCAAGTCAAGGAGGAGTTAATATCGAGGAAGTTGCTGCCACAAACCCGGACGCCATAATGTATGAACCTATTGATATAGAAAAGGGAATTACAAAAGAACAAGCAGATAAAATTGTTACTAAATTAGGCCTTGATAATGTTAAGGATTCAATTTCTAAGATGATAATGAACCTTTATGAAATGTTTCTTAAAAAAGATGCTCTTTTACTTGAAGTTAATCCTCTCGCAGAAGATATCAATGGAGAATGTAATAAAATGATTCTTTATTTATTGATGTAAAAATTGATAAATTTATGGTTATATATGACATTTTATTCTTGTGCTGATTTCAGATTTTGCTTTGGATTGCAAGTGTAGATTTGACGATAATGCTGAATTTAGACAAAAAAATCTATTCGGTTTACGAGATTGGTCTCAAGAGGACCCTAAAGAAGTTGAAGCAGCAAAATTTGATTTGAATTACATTGCACTAGATGGTAACATTGGTTGTATGGTTAATGGAGCCGGGCTAGCTATGGCTACTATGGACATCATAAAACTGCATGGAGGAGAACCTGCAAATTTCTTAGATGTTGGTGGTGGCGCAACAGCTTCTGCTGTTAAAGAAGCGTTTAAAATAATCACATCAGATCCGAGAGTAAGAACTAAAAAAATAAGAATAGTTTAATGACGTTACATTTCGACGTACAATATAGTTGTTTAAAAAGGCATTTTCAGCCACTCTATAAGGTAAGTGCACCAATTACCGAGGGTACCCAATTGTTGAGGTTTATAATTTTCTTCTTAATATATGTATATAGTATATTGTAAATAATTTAAAAACAAGAATAATTTCTGAATAACCTTTATATTTCCAACTGCATACTTATTCAATCAAAATTCTTTTCAACTGTACTAAAATAATTACAATAAATCAAACATACATCGAATTTTAAGGGACCAGAAAAAATACCCGAAGAAAATGGGACTCCGGATATTTAAATATATCGGATATTTAAATCCAAAAGATCGGAAAAAATATCCGTTATAGGCGGGATCCGATTTATGCGAGTCAGATGTATGTAGGTTCTACTGTAGTCGCTTTAATTATAATTCAGTACATAAAACACAATTCGTAATTTTTTTAATATTTCCGGTTGACCGGAATATAATTTTAAAATCTCAAATTAAGAATATTTCCAACTACTTTTTATAGTGTTATACAAATTGATTCGATTGTATACAAATATTTTTGTTAAAAGCAAATCATCGGTATCTGCTATCATATTTTATGACATCTCCATTTTTTGAGGAAATGACTCGAGAATTGGTGCTGTCAATTTTTTAGTTGATGCACAATTTTTAATTAATTTCTCACTTCAGATCTTGTTTTAAATCATTGACAATTGGTGCACTTGCTTTACTTTTGAATTGAATAAAAGACTACTCTTTTTACGTTTCAACGGCACAGCCTCCTCTTCAGAAACTAAAACTTTATTAAAAAAATCACATTTAAAAAAAATAACACTTTTAAAAATCTGGTATTAAGATTAATAACCTTTTGTTGTTCTTAATTCAATAGGTTGATGCTCTTTTAGTTAATATCTTTGGTGGAATCATGAGATGTGATGTTATTGCTGAAGGTATTATTGCAGCGACCAAAGAACTTGATCTCAGAATTCCAGTTGTAGTTAGACTGCAGGTATATTTTTATTTTTATATCTTACGCTCTGGTTTAAAGGATAACACCACTCTAGAATATACTTTTAGAATTTGTTTAAATAATAAATGCTAATGAAAATATCAATAGATAATTTAGTTCCATATTGTTTTCAAATTTCAAGTCAATTGAGAATGGGTTGAGTTAGAAGGTTAGGTTTCGAAAAGTATTGTTTTGAAAAAACGAACAATGTTATAAATTTTTCAAAATTTTAGAGTGATGCTACCTTTGAATTATTAAATATTTCATTAAAAATATTTACCATTTAACAGGGAACTAATGTCGATGAAGCTAAAGCTCTCATAGCCAATGCTGGACTAAAAATTGTTCCAGTTGATGACCTTGATGAGGCTGCAAGAGTAGCTGTGAAATTATCAACTATCGTGAAAATAGCTGCTTCCGCAAAAGTAGGCGTTAATTTTGAATTACATTCAATTTCATAAATCTAGATTCAATTGTAAAACGTGATTTACATTTTACTACGTTTAAAATAAACCTATTGAATTAGACAATTAATCCGAACAAAATGTATCAATTACTTAGAAAAGAAAAACTACTATTCAAATGCACTAGTGTTTATGTTACACTTGAGAACGTACTAAAAGTTTGTATGATACATTTTTGCTTAATTTTTTTGTTAAAGCAAGCTTCGTCAAATACAAATATTCGTTTAATATTAAAATGCCAGCAATATACATGAAGGTTGAATTAAACTGTTTATTAGCTAATTGTGTAAGTGATCTTCAGTAATAAGAATTTTATTCACATTATATTGGTAATACGTTTTGTATCAATATATTGTTTATTTTAAGTGTATAAACAAAGTAGTTCAGTATTAAAAATTAAATTATTTTCGGCGTCCTTTGTTACTGTTAGACATAAAACGTATTTAGTAAAGCAAATCAATAAATCAAAACTATGCTTTCTTTTTCGTCTCTAAAATGAGTGTCTGTCAACTACAACAAATGTAAATCTGATGACTCAACTTTTAACAGTAAACGTTTTCTCTAAATTATTAATTTGCACTTCGAAATTTCTATTTGTTGCATTATGTTAAATATTGAGACGTACATAAATTATTTTATATATTTTTACTTCGTTTTTATTTGTTTTCATTTCAGTGAAACATTTTTCTTAATAATAGTTTAGCGAATTTTTATTTTATGTTGTCAAAGTAAGTTCATTTTATGAATACAAAGTAAAGAATTTTCCCCACAGAAAACAATTTATTTAAGATTAAAAATAGGGCATTCTTTATGATTTATTTTTGTAAATTCATATCTTTCCTGGCACTAAATAACTGTACAAAATTTTAATTACAAGCAGAGTTTTTAATATATTCACTTTAACAAATCTATGCTCTTTTATTCCTTTAATTGTATCATTCTTAATTTTAATCATACACGGAGAGAAAAATCATACTATATTCACATGGGTTGTGTCACTCATTATTCACATCACCTGTGACGTGCTTTTTTTACACAAAATTCATGTGTTTATTGGGTCGTAGATTTCTATGCAAGAAAAGTTTGGAACATGTACTATATTTGCTTCAAGTCCATGTCGTAAATACTCCCCTCCACTCAATGCGAAATTTGCTTGAAATCCATGCGCTTTTCGGATGGATTTCTTGCAACGAAAATAGAAATGATAGTGCGCATGCGTGACTATATATATATGACTAGACACGTGAACGGGAGTCACGCATGCGCACTAGCATTTCTATCTCCGTTGTAAGAAATCCATCCGAAAAGCGCATGGATTTCAAGCAAATTTTATATACAGAGAAGGAAGGCAATTTTATCATGTTTCTTAAGCGTTTATAGTTTACAGATCAATCAGAATTAGTATACATGTCTTTCTAATTTCACACAACGTTTATTCATGCAATAAACACAAGATTTCATGAAAAAATATCTTGCGTGATGAACGATTTTTACATGAAATAGTGTTATGTGAAAAAAGCAACAGTGGCTCATGTGAATATAGTATGATTTTTCTCTCCGTGTAAAAATAAATAAATCAAACTGCAGCAAAATTGTAGCTAAATTAGGTGTTCATTTCATGATCATTTAGCTTCCTCATACACTTATACATATTCAAGATTAAAAAAAGGATTACAACTTAAATAGCGATCAATTTTATAATTATTGGTAAAATGTAAATTTTATATACAACAATCGATTCGTTTTCATGCCAGGAATACAATTTTGACAAGAATTAATTAAAATTTTCATATAAGAAAAAATAATTTTAAAAAATACAAAAAACAATTTTTTTCAAAAATTCAAAACAATTATTTAATCTATAGATTTGAGTAAAATATGAACTTTATATAGGTTGATGGATTCGTTTTAATCCAAGAAATAAGTTTTTTTACCAAATAAAATTGAATTTACACAAAAAAAATATTGTGACAAAATTGTTTAAAAAAATTTTGTGAATATATTTGGAAATCCTTGTGTCAGATTTTAGGTATTAATGATTACAATAGGCATACAAAATTTCAGGACATTCCGTTCAAACGTTTCTGAGATAACTTGTACATAATATTTTGTGACATACACACAAACATAGCCATATACATCTTGACATTTGCTCAGAACTTCATATATATTCTAGTCCTCAATTAATTTATCATGTAAGACAATGCTATGAAATAATTAGCGAATATTTTCGAATATCTACAGCGAAATTTTTGTATGAGAGTGCAAATATAATTACTTTGCATCCTTAGTTAAAATTTTACACAAATTCCGAATTAAATTTGGACAGATTAGTCCGGATTAGTTCGAAAATTGTACGAAAATAATCAAATGTGTAGTATAGCAAGGCCGGTTTTGGCCCAGGTTCTGATATCAGCTTAATACCTGCAGTCGGTAACTGCTCGGTCGGTAATGCAGATTTTTACTTTATCAGCAGTCGGCAAGGTAGGAATCTGACAAAAATTTCAACTCGACCGATAATATAGGAAACTGTTTTACCGACCGAACATTGAAGTTTACCGACCACCCAATAGATGGCGCTCACTTCAGAGTGTGTTACCGACTTTGATTTACCTTTTAATTAAAAATAAAGTTATTCTCAAACTGTTTTACTAAACTTTGAAGTTAGTTTACCGACCACCCAATAGATGGCGCTCACTTCAGTCTATGGTTTTAAACTTTTAACCGAATTAGTTTACCGACCACCCAATAGATGGCGCTTACTTCAGCCTGGTTTTAAACTTTTTTACCGAATTAGTTTACCAGCCACCGCTCACTTCAGTTTGTGGTTTTAAACTTTTTTACCGAATTAGTTTACCCGCCATCCAATAGATGGCGCTCACTTCAGTCTGTGTTTTTAACATTTCTTACCGAATTTGATTTCCCGACATCCGCGAGTAGTACCCCCACCCGACGGCGGCGCGCGCCGCTCCGTGCCTGCGGTAGTGGTGAGGTACTGCCTTTAAGAGTCGGACTGCTCTCGTGGATTCATATAATCTGTTCTAGATGAGCAACGAGAGTGATACAAGCAGTGATGCCAGGCTGCACACCAATTCCACTCCCACCATGCCGCCCTTGCGCCTCCCTCCATACGGCCACACACAAGTATAAACCGTGCTCTTACTCTTGTAGGTGTGCCTATTTTTCGTTTTCCTCATATTCGCCCGCTTCAGCTGAGCCATTATGCCTGTTTTTACCGACAGCCGGTTAATTTCACGCGCGAACTTTTGAATTCTTTATAATATGAATATACTTTTATTAATCTTTTTATAGATATTTATTAATGAATAATTAATAAATATACTATATATATACTATATTATAAATATAATATATTACATATGAGAGATTCTTTTTCAATCGCCCCAGCCCAAAAAATCAATGTTCTAGGATTGGCTTCACACTTTGGTAAATTGTTGTCCTATGTGATAGTAACAAATCCCTAAAATATAAACTCATTAAAAAAATATTTGTAGAAAGTAGAGGGGGTTGAAGTTTTGACGTTAAGGGTAACATTGTCATTTTCAAATCCGTATAACTATGGCAAAAGATAATGGATTTTAATTTATCTATTATGAATTTTAATGCATTTTTCACGTACTTTTCAAAAATGTTTACAAAATTAAAAAAAAAAGATTTCACCCCTTTTTTCAAAATCAACCCTTATTTTTCGATTTTCACCCCTTCGGGAATTTTTTTATTTCTTTTTTTTATTTTCATTGGAAAGCTGAGGTTTTTTCCCATGAGCTATGTAAATATGAAAGTGGGACAACAATAATTTTGTGAGAAACAGAATATTAAAGTAGGCGGTGCCGATAACGGGTATACCTGCCCTGTTGAAAATTCCTATGTGAGAACACATATGGGATCCCATCCAGGATCTCTTGTGAGTTCTTATGTGGGTTCCCATACAGGTTCACACATAAGATCCTGTATGAAAAGGTTCCTGGGATGAACTTGCGTGAGAGCTCGCGCATGATCTTATGTCTCTGTAAAAGCAATAACACCTCATCCTGTGTTATTGCTTTTACAGAGACATAAGATCATGCGCGAGCTCTCACGCAAGTTCATCCCAGGAACCTTTTCATACAGGATCTTATGTGTGAACCTGTATGGGAACCCACATAAGAACTCACAAGAGATCCTGGATGGGATCCCATATGTGTTCTCACATAGGAATTTTCAACAGGGTGGAGATCATCTTCGAAGATTTAGGTAGGCACCGCGCGAGGCACCGCATAATTTAATATTATGTTTCGCACATAATTATTGTTGTCCCACTTTCGTATTTACATAGCGCATGGGAAAAAACCTCAGCTTTCCAATGAAAATAAAAAAAAAAAAAAAATACCCGATGGTGAAAATCGAAAAATAAGGGTTGATTTTGAAAAAAGGGGTAAAAATTTTTTTTTTTTAATTTTGTATACATTTTTGAAAAGTACGTGAAAAATGCATTAAAATTCATTATAGATAAATTAAAATCCATTAACTTTTGTTATAGTTATACGGATTTGAAAATGACAATGTTACCTTTAACGTCAAAACTTCAACCCCCTCTACTTTCTACAAATATTTTTTTAATGAGTTTATATTTTAGGGATTTGTTACTATCATATAGGACAACAATTTACCAAAGTATGAAGCCAATCCCAGAACATTGATTTTTTGGGCTGGGGCGATTGAAAAAGAATCTCTCATATACGTAATGTAATATATAAATAGTACTGAATAATAAAATTAATAGTGATGATAATTAATATTTCATTAATTATACTTAATTATAATCACTACACGGAGAGAAATCTGGTGCGATTTACGCATGAGCATGTCCTTAGGAATATAGTAACAGACGCTTTCAAGCAAAAATCCTAAGTGAGCGAGGTATTATTGTATGAGTCTCACCTGATATTCAGATGGAATCTTATGGTTTTTGCTTGGAAGTGTCCATGCTATATTCCTATGAACTTGCTCATGCGCAAATCGCAGCAGATTTCTCTCCGTGTATAAGTAAAAAAAGATATTTTTTAAAATCATAAGATTATAATAATGTAGTAAATAGACGATTGTTATTATTATTAGTAACTGAAAAATTTTTAACTTTTTTTATAAAAGTAATAATAAAAATTTATTTTTTAACATTTAAACATATAATTAAAGTACACTAAAAAAACAAATTTATTGTTTCAAATAATTAATTACTTGTTTATTATAATGAAAGTGTTTATTTGTATTGAATAATAAATATTATTTTAGCGAATTAAATTGTATTTCTTTCAAATACGTGGATTATCGGCTCAAATACAATTTATTTTATTCTAACAATAATTATTTTGTTTAAATAAATAAGTATATATTTAATAATAGACAAGTAAGTGATTATTTGAAAAAAATAAATTTTTTTAGTGTATATATTATTAAACCCGTTTCCTCACTATCCTGGAGGTAGAGTTTGTGGCGCGTTTTCTTCTCTTTGAAGACTAATTGAAGTTGCATGCGGTTTGTGAAATTGAATATATTATTTAATGAAAATAGCATAACTTCTAAAAATTATTTTAGAGAAATATTGGCTGTGAAAAGTACATTTTATTTTTTCTAGTCTTGAAAACATT